GACAAGAGAACAAAGCAAGAGGTCTGATATTAGTCTCTCAGAGTTAGGGCACACAATGCAGAAGTCCTGAGATGAACCTTGGCTCCCTAAAATCTTCCATAAATGAAGCCAGTTGACTAGACCCACCTTATAGCATAATCAAACCGCCAAGGAGACTAAAGAGGATAAAGGAAAACTGTGGCAACTCAAAAAGCCAGAGTGTCTTCTTACCTCCAAATAAAAGCACTCATTCCTCAGCAATGGTTCTTAACAAGGCTGAAATGGCTGAAATGACAAAAATAAAATTTAGAACATGGATAGGAATGAAGATTATTGACATTCAGGAGAAAGTCAAAACCCAATTCAAGAAATATAAAGATTATTGTAAAATGATACAGGAGCTGATAGATGAAATGTCCATTATAGAAGGAACCAAACTGATTTGATAAAGCTGAAAAACACAGAATTTCACAATGTATTCACAAGTGTTAACAACAGAATAGGCTAAGCTGAGGAAAGAATCTCAGAGCATGAAAACTTGCTGTATAAAATAACTCAATCAGACAAAAAATTTTTAAAAACTAGTTGAATAGGCAACCTACAGAGTAAGAGAAAATTTTTTAAATCCCTTCATCTGACAAAGGGCTAATATCCAGAATCTATGAGGAAGTTAAACAAATTTACAAGAAAAAAGCAAACAACCTCATCAATAAGTGGCCGAAGGATATGAACAGACAATTCTCAAAAGAAGACATTTATGCAGCCAACAAACATATCAAAAAAAGCTCATCATCACTGGTCATTAGAAAAATGCAAATCAAAATCACAATGAGTTACCATCTCACACCAGTTAGAATGGTGAGCATTAAAAAGTCTGCAAACAACAGATGCTGGCAAGATGTGGAGAAATAGGAACACTTTTACACTGTTGGTGGGAGTGTAAATTAGTTCAACCATTGTCAAAGATAGTGTATTCCTCAAGGATCTAGAATCAGAAATACCATTTGACCCAGAAATCCTATTACTGGGTATATATCCAAAAGATTATAAATCATTCTACTATAAAGACACAGTATGTTTATTGCTATTTATAATAGCAAAGACTTGGCACCAACCCAAATGCCCACCAATGATAGTATGGACAAAGAAAATGTGGCACATATATACCATGGAATACTATGCAGCCATAAAAAAGAATTAGTTCATGTCCTTCGCAGGAACATCGATTAAGCTGGAAATCATCATCCTCAGCAAACTAACACAGGAATAGAAAACCAAACACTGCATGTTTTCACTCTAAAGTGGGAATTGAACAATGAGAACACATGGACACAGGGAGGGGAACATTACACACTGGTGCCTGTCAGCAGGTGGGGGACAGGGGAGGGAGAGCATTAGGACACAAACCGAATGTATGCAGGGCTTAAAACCTAGATGACGGGTTGATAGGTATAGCAAACCACCATGGCACATGTATACCTATGTAACAAACCTGCACATTCAGCACATGTATACCACAACTTCAAGTAAAATAATTTTTAAAAGAATCAACAAAACTTCTGAGAAATATGGGATTACATAAAGACACCAAATCTGTGACTCATGAAAGAGAGACAGAGAGAAAGCAAGAACCTTGGAAACATATTTCAGGATATCATTCATGAAAATTTCCCCAGTCTTACTAGGGAAGCCAACATTCAAATTCAGGAAATGTAGAGAACCTCTACAAAATACTACATAATAAGCCCATCCCCCAAACACACAATCATAAGATTCTCCAAGGTTGAAATGAATGAAAAAATATTAAAAACAACTCGAGGGAAAGGGTAGATCACTTACAAAGAGAATCCCATCAGGCTAACAACAGACCTTTCAGCAGAAACCCTATAAGTCAGAAGAGATTGCGATTGTGGGGGCAAGGGCCTATATTTAGCATTCTCAAAGAAAAGAATTTTCAACCAAGAATTTCATATCTAGCTACACTAAGCTTCATAAGTCAAGGAGAATTAAGATCCTTTTCAGACAAACAAATGCTAAGGGAATGAATTACCACCAAACTTACCTTATAAGAGATCCTGAAAGGAATGCTATATATGGAAAAGAAATACTTACTGGCCACTTAAGTACATAGACCAGTAACACTATAAAGCAATAAAAAAAAAAAAAACAAGTCTGCATAATAACTGACTAACAACATGATGACAGGATCAAATATTCACATATCAATACTAACCTTCAATGTAAAAAAATTAAATGCTGCAAATAAAGACACAGAGTGGCAAGTTGGATAAAGAAACAAAGCCTGATCACATGCTGTCTTCAAGAGACCCATCTCATGTAGGAAGGCACACATACGCTCAAAGTGAAGGGATGAAGAAAAATCTACCAAGCAAACAGAAAACAGAAAAAAACAAAGATTACTATTCTAATTTCAGATGAAACAGATTTTAAACCAACAAAGATTTAAAACAGATATAGGGCATTACATAATGGTAAAGGGCTTAGTTCAACAAGATCTAACTGTTCTAAATACAGACACACACACCCAAAAAGAAAAGAAAACAAAAATCAGAGGTGAATTGAAGGAAACTGAGATGCAAAAAACCATACAAAAGATCAACAAATCCAGGAGTTTGTTTTTTGAAAGAATTAATAAGATACACAGACTGCTAGATAGACTAATAAAAAAATGAGAGAGAAGATTCAAATAAACGCAATCAGAAATGACAAAGGGGATGTTACCATAGAAATAGAAAAAACTCTCAGACTATTATGAAAACCTCTATGCACACAAGCTAGAAAACCTAGAATAAGCAGATAAATTCCTGGAAACATACAACCTCCCAAGATTGAGCAAGGAAGAGAATGAATCACTGAACACACCAATAATAACTAATATTGAATCAGTAATAAAAAGGCTACCAACTAAAAAAAACACCCAGGACCAGAAGGATTCACAGCCAAATTCTACCAAATGTATAAAGAAGAGCTGGTAGGTACCATTCCTGCTAAAACCATCACAAAAAATTAAGGAGGAAGGACTCCTCTCTAACTCATGAGGCCAGCATCATCTCAATACCAAAACCTAGCAGAGACACAACAAAAAAGAAAACTTCAGGCCAATATCCTTGATCAATATAGACACAAAAATCCTCTACAAAATACGAGCAAACCAAATCCAGTGGCACATAAAAAAGCAAATCTACCACAATCAAGATTTATCCCTGGGATGCAAGGTTGGTTAAACACATGCAATCAATAAATATGATTCACTACATAAACAGAACAAAATACAAAAACCATGTAATCATCTCAATAGATGCAGAAAAGCTTTTCATCAAACTCAATATATGTTTATGTTAAAAAACCTCAGCAAACTAGGAATTGAAGGAACATACTTGAAAATATTAAGAGCCATCTATGAAAAACCTATTGTCAACATAATACGGAATAGGCAAATGCTGGAAGCATTCTCCTTAAAAAACAGTTTCTAGATAATATGATTTTATATCTAGAAAACACTGTAGTCTCTGCCAAAGCTTCTTGATCTAATAAACAACTTTAGCAAAGTTTCAAGATACAAAATCAATATACAAAAATCTGTAGCATTGCTGCCAAGTGTGGTGGCTCATGCCTAACCCTAGCATTTTGGGTGGCTGAGGCAAGTGAATTGCTTGAGCCCAGGTTTTTGAGACCAGCCTGGGCAAAATGACAAAACTCTTGTCACTACAAAAACTACAAAATTAGCCAGATGTGGTAGTTCATGTCTGTAGTCCCAGCTCCTCAGGATGCTGAGCTGGGAGGATTTATTGAATCCAAGAGTTTGAGGCTACGGTAACCTGTAATCATGCCAGTGAACTCCAGCCTAGCAGAGTATGACCCTCTCTCAGAAAAAGAAAAAATAAAATAAAAAATCAGCAGCATTTCTATACACCAACAACATCCAAACTGAGGGAAAACTCAAGAATAGAATCTCATTTATAGAAGCCACAAAAAGAATAAAATACCTAGTAACACAGATAACCAAGGAGGCAAAAGACCTCTGCAATGAGAATTCTCAAATATTGCTTTAAAAAATCAGAGAAGACACAAATGAATAGAGAAACATTTCATGCTCATGGATGCGAATAATCAATATTGTTAAAATGGATATACTGCCCAAAGCAATTGACAGATTCAGTACTATTCCTATAAAACTACCAAAACAATTCTCTACAGAATTAGAAAAAAACTACCTTAAAATTTATATGGAACCAAGAAAGAGCCCACATAGCCAAGGTAATCCTAAGCAAAGAGAACAAAGCTGGAGGCATCACATTACTCAACTTCAAACTATCCTACAGTGATACAGTAACCAAAACAGCATGGTGTTGGTACAAAAACAGACACATAGATCAAAAAAACAGAAGAGAGAGCCCATAAGTAATGTTGCATATCAATCTGATCTTCAACAAATCTATAAACACAAACAATGGGGAAAGCACACCCTATTCAATAAGTTGTACTGAGACAATAGTCTACCCATAGGCAGATGATTGAAACTGAACCCCTTCCTTATATCCTAAACAAAAATTAACTCGAGATAAATTAAGGACTTAAATGTAAAATCTACAAGAGTAAACATCCTGAAAGATAACCTAGGAAATACTATTCTGGATATAGGAACTGGCAGAGGTTTTACAACAAAGATGCCAAAAGCAATTGCAACAAAAATAAAAATCAACAAATGGGATGTAATTAAACTAAAAAGCTTCTTCACAGCAAATAAACTATCAATGGAGTAAACAGACAACCTACAGAAAAGGAGAAAATATTTGCAAGCCATGCATCTGACAAGGGTCTAATATCCAACATCTATAACAAGCTTAAACAAATCAACAAGCAAAAACAAACAACCCCACTCAAACCTGGACAAAAGACATGAACAGACACTTTTCAAAAGAAGACATGCATGTGGCCAGGAAGCATATAAAAAAAAAATGCTCTCTGAACACTTCACTAGCAAAAAAAAAAAAAAAAAAAAATGCTCAATATCATTAATCATCACAGAAATGCAAATCAATACCACAATGAGTTGCCATCTTACAACAGTCAGAATGTCTGTTATCAACAAATTAAAAAATAACAGATGTTGACAAAGTTGTGAAGAAAAGGGAATGCTTATACACTGCTTGTCGGAATTTAAATTAGTTCAGCCACTGTGGAAAGGAGTTTGGCAACTTCTCAAGGAAATTGAATGCTAAAACATAATTATCATTTTACTCAGCAATCCCATATTGGGTATTTATCCAAAGGAATATTAATTGTTCTATAACAAAGACATATGCACATACATGTTCATTGCAGTACTATTCATGATAGAAAAGACATGAAATCAACATAAATGCCCATCAGTGGTAGACTAGATAAAGAAAATGTGGTGCACATGCATTATGAAATACTATGCAGCCATAAAAAATGAGATCATGTCCTTTTCAGCAGCATGAATGGAGCTAGAGGCCATTATCCTAGGATAACTCAAATGGGAACAGAAAGCCAAATACAACATATTCTCACTTATAAATGGGAGCTAAACACTGAGTACATATGGACAGAAAGAAGGGAACAACATATACTGGGGCTTACTTGAGGGTAGAAAGTGGGTGCATTAGTTCATTTTTTCATGATGCCAACAAAGACATAGCTGAGGCTGGGGGAAAAAAAAGAGGTTTTAATGAGCTCCCAGTTCCACGTGGCTGAGGAGGCTTCACAATCATGGCAGAAAGGAAGGAGGAACAAGTCATATCTTACATGGATGTCAGCAGGCAAAAAAAGAGCATGTGCAGGGAAACTCCCCATTATAGTAACCATGAGATCTCGTAAGACTTATTCACCATCATGAGGACAGCATGGGAAGGACCTCCCCCCACAATTCAATTACCTCCCACTGGGTCCCTCCCATAACATGTGAGACTTCAAGATGAGGTTTGGTTGGGGACACAGCCAAACTATATCCGAGAGGATTAAAAACCTACCTATGAGGTACTAGGCTTATTACCTGCGTGATGAAATAATCTGTACACCAAACCTCTATCATATGCAAATTACCTATGTAACAAATCTGCACATTTACTCCTAAACCTAAAACATAAATTTACAAAAATGAAATAACAAAGATAAAATATGGATATTATATACCTAGCCAGGTAGTAGGAAAATAAAAATCTGTACCTTTTGAAACAGAATCCTTAACAAAATTTAGATCAGGATGAAGTGCTTAGCTTTAATAATCTTAAGTGAATCAACCTTCCTTCATCTACTGCAATTAGAGAGAACTGGAGAAAGGTAAAATAAATGCAGACTTTGGTCAACACCACCAAGGCCCGAGGTTTTTTCTCTGGGTATGTAAAGTCCATGCCTACAAGAAGTTTATATATTGATGAGCAAATGAGACCTGAAAGTGAAGCCAAGAATACGAATAAGAATAACAGCCTTTTTGTAAATAAACTTGAAATAAAGGCCTAGAAAATCCAAATATTATAGAAAAATTTTAGAGAAAAAACAAAAATATTCAGACTGCCAATTACTTTGAATTCTATCTTGAATAACTAAATTCAATTAACTTTCACTTTAATTACAGACTTTCACTCTTATTTTTTGAAAAAGAAATTCAAAATATTCTCGATTGCTTAGAATAATAAACTGATTTTTGAACATGAAATTTAAAATATTGAGAAGACTGGGTCAATGTGGGAAGCGTAGTATTTGTATTTATCTCTATTCCCACTCCAAATTTTCTAATATGACAGGAAAAATTAAAAAATAAATAATAGTTCTGGAAAACAAGAAAAGACATGATAAGGGCAAGAAGTGTTGAATAGTTTAGAAGATAGAAAGCAAAAGCCCTGGATTAATACAGAACAAACAACATAGAACACCACCCTTTTAAAACAATGTAAGAGAGTGTAAATATTGAGGAGTGATATAGTATACAAATACTCCACAGATAATATTTATATGAATTGAAAAAAATAAAATAATTATTTTTATTTTTATTTTTTGAGATGGAGTCTCAGTCGCCCAGGCTGGAGTGCAGTGGCACCATCTCAGATCAATATAAACTCAGCCTCCCGGGTTCAAGCAAGTCTCTGCCTCAGCCTCCCCCGTAGCTAGGATTACATGCCATCGTGCCCAGCTACTTTTTGTATGTTTAGTAGAGATGGGGTTTCACCATTTTGGCCAGGCTGGTCTTGAACTCCTGACCTTGTGATCCACCCACCTCAGCCTCCCAAAGTGCTGGGATTACAGGCATGAGCCACCGCATCCAGTCAATAATAGTTATTTAAATATGCCATAAAGCATTCAAAAGCTGACAGAAGCAGTAAAATAATTTAATATTAAAAAAAAGTTTACCTGAAGAAGTATGAATTTTGGCTTTGTCAAATATTCTGGCCTGAGGGCACAGCCTAACCACCAAAGCAACAGCAAATGATGTAGGGAAAAAACATAGGCATACTGGGTAAGGTGCCAGACGCCAGAGTTCAGTGCAAGAAAAGCAGCTAGAAATTTAAAGGAGAATCCTGACAGTAAAGGAAATATATAGTATCCAAAAGCCAAGCTGACAGTATGGCAAAAACACAGGAAGGAACCAAAGAGAAATCTCCTCTTAAAAGATAAAACTATACAGAATCTGGCTTTTCTTATCTGAGTGTATTTTCATACTGTGCACAATTTGACCATAGGAAGCTTAATGTGTCAGATTACAGAGCCCAAAACTCATAGAACAGTTGGAAATTATAGAGAAATGCACATAAGTAGCTAGATCAGATCAACAGTAGATAAGGAAAGGGATGAAAAAACAATCTGTGAGCTTAAAATGTATCAAAATAATTTCTCCAATCTGAAGGATAGAAAAAATAATAGCAAAGCCTATGAATTCATCTAACATGCATGGAAGTAGAATTATAGAAAGAAAAGAGAGATGCAAATAAGTAGTAGGAGAAATATTTTTAGAATATTAACTAAAAATTTACAAATTGGGCAGAATACAATAATTCACAGATTCAAAAGGTCAACAAACCCAGGTCAAAGTAAATAAAAAGAAATCTCCTGTCCATATCAGGGACAAACTGCTAAAAGCCAAAAGTAAAGAGACAATCCTGAAATAAGCCAGAACAAAATATTTCAAGGCGCTTGGAGAAAAGGAATAGATGACAAAATTTAATGGCTGACTTCTCATGAGAAATTGTGGAAGCCAGAGACATTGGAATAATATGTTGAAAACCATGAAGGATAAAAAATTACATGCACACTTTTAGATAAACAAAAAATGAGAGAAATTGTCAAGAACCATAGTTGCTAATATATTTATCTATAGATACGTAGATATATAGATATCTATATAGACATAGATATAATGTATATATAGATATATATATACATATATACTGTATATATAGATATACATTAAAAGAAATGCTAAAAAAACTCCTCAATTTGAAAGTGCATGACACTAAATGACAACTCAGATCTATAGGGATAAAGAGTATTAGAAATGTTAAAATTAGAAACATAAAACTTTTTTCTCTTGAATTTTTTTTTTTTAGAATTTCTCTTGAATTTTAAAGTTATATAACTATATAAATAAAAAGTATACAGTTAATGAAATTATTGACATGATTAAATTTTTGTCTGCTATTTTACTATTTGTTTTTTAATTTTCTCATTTAGTTTTCTTTTTCTATTTCATATTTTATTTTTGCTTTCTTTTGTATATCAATCTATTGAATTTTAAGTGCTATTTTAATACCTTCACTTGCTTTCTATTTCTATCTCTGCATGTAATGGTTAAACCAGAAATTATATATGTAGCTTATACCTAGCCAATCTACTTGTGGATAATTTTAAGTTACTTCTGATAAAATGTAGAATCATTGCAGCAGTATACATTTCCATTTTATTTCCCTTCTTAAGTCTATTCTCATGAATATTATGTTGGCTTGCCCTATAAGGCAATAAATAACAAGTAATAATGTTTTTATTTTTATGGTTGTAAAACTTACAAGGCTGGCATTATTATGCTAACCACACTAGGCAAGCACAATACAAAAAAGAAAACTACATGCCAATATTCCTGATGAAAATATAAGCAAAAATTTTCAACAAAATACTAGCAAACTAAGTTAAATAGCACATTAAAAGGACCATACACTATGTCATGTGAGATTTATCCCTGAAATATAAAGATGATTCAACATACACAAATAAATAAACATAATATTCCACATTAAGAGAAGAAAGAACCAAAATTATATGATCATGTCAACAGATGCAGAAAAAGCATTTACAAATTTCAATGCTTTTTTAATAACAGAAAGTCTCCATGAAGTACTTATAGAAGGAATGTACCTCAAAAAAAAAAAAGCCATATATCACAAGCCCACACCTAACATAATACTCAATGATGGAATGTTGAAAGCTTTTCCTGTAAGATTAGGAACAAGATAATAATGAATATTCTTACCACTTCTATTCAAATTCATGTGCTATCCAGAGCAATTAGGCAAGAGAATGAAATGAAAGACATCCACATTGAAAAAGAAGAAGAAAAATTGTCACTGTTTGTAGATGGCATAATCTATTTTTTTTTTTTTTTTTTTTTTTTTTGAGACGGAGTTTCACTCATGTTACCCAGGCTGGAGTGCAATGGCGCGATCTCGGCTCACCGCAACCTCCGCCTCCTGGGTTCAGGCAATTCTCCTGCCTCAGCCTCCTGAGTAGCTGGGATTACAGGCACGCACCACCATGCCCAGCTAATTTTTTGTATTTTTGGTAGAGACGGGGTTTCACCATGTTGACCAGGATGGTCTCGATCTCTTGACCTCGTGACCCACCCGCCTCGGCCTCCCAAAGTGCTGGGATTACAGGCTTGAGCCACCGCGCCCGGCTATGGCATAATCTTATATAAAGAAAGTCCTAAAGGCTCCACAAAAAAACTATTAGAAGCAATAAACAAATTCAGTAAAGTTTCAGAATACAAAATTAGCATACAAAATTAGTTGTAATTCTTTACACTAAGGATAAATTATCCAAAACAGAAATCAATAAATAATTGCATTTATGATAGTATCAAGAAGAATAAATACTTAGGAATAAATTTAACCAAGAAGATAAAAGATCCATACACTACAAAGTATAAAAATTTGTGAAAGAAATTGAAGACACAAAAAAATAGAAAAATATCCTATGTTCATGGATCTAGAAGAATCAACATTGTAAAATGTGCAAACTACCCAAAGCAGCCTAAGAATTCAATTCAATCCCTATCAAAATTATAATGGCATATGTTACAAAAATAGAAAACAATCCTAAAATTTGTATAAAACCAGAAAAGACCCTGAACAGCTAAAACAATCTTGAATAACAAGAACAAAGCTGGCAGCATCACACTTTCTGACATTAAATCTTATTACAAAGTTATAGTAATCAAAACAACATAGTACTGGCACAAAAACAGACATATAGACAAATGGAACAGAATAGAAAGCTCAAAAATAAACTACACATATGTAGACAACTAATTTTGACAAAGGTATTAATAATACACATGGGGAAACGATTGTCACTTCAATAAAAGCTGTTGGGAAAACTGGATAGCCACATACAAAAGAATGATTTTGGACCCTTATGTCACATCATATACAAAAATCAACTCAAAATGGATTAAACGCTCAAAGGTGAGACCTGAAACTGTAAGACTACCCAAAGAAAACTAAGAGAAAAGCTTCATGACATTAGTCTGGGCAACGATATTTTGTATATGACACCAAAAGCATAGGCAACAAAAGCAAAAATAAACAAGTGAGATTACTTCAAACTAAAAAGTTTTGGCACAACAAAAGAAACAATTGACAAAATGAAAAAGCAGCCCACAGAATAGGAGAAAATATTTGCAAGTCATACATTTCGTAAAGGGTTAATACCAAAAATATACAAGGAGCTCATACAACTCATTAGCAAAGAAAAAACAACAAATAATTCAATTTTTTAATAAGAAAAGGACTTGAATAGACATCTTTCCAAAGAAGACATACAAATGGCCAACAAATATATTTTAAAATGTTCAATATCACTATCAGGGAAATGCAAATCAAAATCACAATAGATTACCACTTGACTCCTGTTAGAATAATTGATCAAAAAGTCAAAAGATAACAAATGTTGGCAAGGATGTGGATAAAAGGAAACACTACACCTTGTTGGGTAGAATAAAAATTGGTACAGACTTTATGGAAGTCTGCATTTTGCATATTCCAAAAAGATTAAAAATAGAACTATCATATGATCTAGCAATCTCACTTCTGGCTATTTATCCAAAAGGGATGAAATCAGGATCTCATAAAGATATTAGCACATCTAAGTTTATTGTAGCACCATTTATAATAGCTAAGATGTTGAAACAAACCTGTTAATATCAGTCAACCTTAAAAAACACAGAAGGAAATTCTGTAATATCTGACAGCATGGATGAATCTTGAGGACATTATGCTACATGAAATAAACCAGTCATAGAACAGTACTGAATGATTGCACTGATATGAGATACACAAAATAGTCAAATTCATAAAATCAAAGAGCAAAATGGTAGTTTTGAGGGGTTGGGAGGAGGTGTAAATCAAAAGTTATGAATCAAAAAAGTCACACAAAATGAATAAGTTCTAGAGATCTGCTGTAACATATTGCACCTATAGTCAACAATAATAAATAATAACTAAAAAATGTGTTGAGAGGGTAAATCCCATACTAAATATTCTTACCATAACAAAACAAAATAAAATAGAAAGGAATGAAGTACTGGTATATACAACAACATGGATATATCTCAAAAGTATTAAGCTAAGTGAAAAAAAAAAAAAGGCAGGCACAAAGACTCCATACGGTATAATTCCATTCATGTGAATTTCTAGGAAAAGCAAATTTACAAAGACATAAAGTATATAAGTTGTTGCCAGGGGCAGGATGTGGGGAGAGGTCACTGACTGAAAAGAAATGCAGAGTATTAAAACTAAGGGTGGTAAAACTAGCCTATATCATGATTGTGGTGGAAGTTACATGACTGTACACATTTATCAAAACTCACTTAATTGTACATTTTCAATTGGTAAATTTATTGTGTATAAATTTAACCCCAGTAGAAAAAATGGCATATATAAAAAGGGGAGAATTCACAATTTTTAAGTGCAACAAAAATTAATAATAAGCTCAAATAAATTAAATATCAAAGACCAAAATGTGGTAAAATGTGAAGACTTAGACTCAATAGTTGAGTAAGGCCATCTACAAAGATCTAGCTCTATTTTCTGTTAAACAATAATAGAAAAAAGGAAATTAAAGGGTACAGAATGAGTTTTCTATTCCCCTTCCTTAAGCAGAGCCAAGAACTTGGTAGGTATGTTCACCAGGGCGGGGATTGAGGCAGGGTGTGGTGGAGCCAGGCCAGGGATTCTCTTTCATGTTTATAGTGAGAGGGGCAAAGTCAGAATTAAACTTTTGGACAAGAATTCATCCATTTTATGCATTGCATTGAACAAGGGTCTGGGTCAGAGAGGTCTTGGCCATGAACTTCCACAAACATTTTACAGAGACTCATCAGGGATGGGGAGGATAAGACACCACAGCTGGGGATTTTGCTGGCATGTTAGTTAGGAACTTGACCAGCATAGCATATTATCTGGGGCCAGAGCTAAGAAGGAATCCCATGTGGTCAAGGCCCAGAGTGTGTGTCAAGGCTTGTATGTTTCAGATTGGTTACATACGGGAGATTAAGCAAATAAGTAATATATTGTGATGGATAAGTCAGATTTCTCACTGTTGAAGGGCTTTATAAATATGAAACGAGAAAAGCTAAATAAACCCTGTTATGTTAAACAGGAATTGGAAGTATCAGTTTAAACTCAAGTTGCTTTAAAGAAAAACAGACAGATGATAAACAGATTAACACAGAGACAGACATAGATAGATAACATATATAGATGTTTGTATGCATGCATGTATGTGTGTGATATAAATATATAAATATTTCCTGGGTTGATTTTCTGACAGAGCCTAGAAGTAATAATGTAATAAATAATGCACCATTGCAATGAAAACACCCCGTGCACAGGTCGTGGTTTGTAAATACCACTCCCCCATAAAAAAGAACTAGGGCTGCTTAAGGAATTGGTTGATTCAAGACTGGAGCAGAGAAAGTCTAAGATGATCTTGCAACATCTCAGCTTCTCAGAAAATAAAGAAGTGCTAGAAAGAGGAAGAGGATGTGTCAACAAGACATAAGAATATCTTTGAAGAAACTTCCACTGGTCAAATATGAGACAATTAGAGCATCAAAATAAATAATAATGGTAAAATGTAAGTCAGTGAATAAAATCAATATCCTTGAGTTCATATTGATATAAATAGATAATGATTAAATAAATAAATGGAAGAGATAGGAAATGCCATCCTTACAGTCAATTATCAACAAATAAATGTAGGCGGAATGACAGTATAATAAAATAGCTATTTGGCAACTATGAAAAAAATAATTGTATCAGAAAACCATCATCAATAGATGCTAATACTAACAGGTAACGGTCTAATGAGAAATAAAATACTTATATAGTTTAAAAACTCTCTCCATAAACGCTTAATAATTGTTTTTTAATAAGCATGAAATACTTGAACAGTGGAGAAGCCTGGCAGACACCTTAATGAAGTGATCCAAGTGTAACTACCAAACATGGGAAAATTTAGCAGAGGGTACTTCTTACTGCTACACAGTGAAAGTGATACAACCTTATTCCTGTTACATTCCTGCCAAGTATGCAGAACCTAAATTTAGTTATGTGGAAACCTCAGACCATCCCCAATTGAGGGACATTCTACAAAGTCACTGGCTCATACTCTTCAAAATTGTCAAGATCATGAAAGACAAGAGAAGACTGAGAAATTTTCCAGACTGAAGGAGATTTAAGATACATGACATTTAATGCAGCAAATTATTATCAGTCAAATCCTGGACCTTTAAAAGATATAATTGGAGTAAAAGGTGAAATTTGAATGGGGACTGTGGATTACATGGTGGCTCTATCAATGCTAATACCCAGATATTGATGGTGGTACTGTTGTTATATAGGAAAATACTCTTATTTTAAGGAAATACATACTGAAATATTAAGCTTCAATATCTGCAATGATTTCAAATGGTTACAAAATAAATAAAAAGCTATTTATATAATAGAGAATGAAGTAAATCTGATAAAATGCTAATATTGGGGAAGCTGGGTAAAGAGTATGTGAGAATTAGTTGTGCTATTCTTGTAACTTTTCTATAAGTATAAAATAATTCTCAAATAAAATATGTTTTAAAGGGACAGTTTGTGTTGAATGTATTGGAAAAAGGTTTTTTTAAAAAGCTTACTAGCCAAACAAATGAAAAGACAATAAAAAAGAATAGAAATCTCATATAAAATTACCATGGTTACCAGAAT